ATTCTCTTCCCCTCCTTTCCCATTCTAATCCTTTATCCCATTCTCTTCTCTTTCCTTCCCATTCTAATCCTCTTCCCATTCTAATCCTCTTTTCCATTCTCTTCCCCTCCTTTCCCATTCTAATCCTTTATCCCATTCTCTTCTCTTCCCTTCCCATTCTAATCCTCTTCCCATTCTAATCCTTCCCTTCCCATTCTAATCCTCTTTTCCATTCTCTTCCCCTCCTTTCCCATTCTAATCCTTTATCCCATTCTCTTCTCTTTCCTTCCCATTCTAATCCTCTTCCCATTCTAATCCTTCCCTTCCCATTCTAATCCTCTTTTTCATTCTCTTCTCTTCCCTTCCCTTCTCTTCCCTTCCCATTCCAATCCTCTATTCCATTATCTTCTCTTCTCTCCTTTTCTCTTCTCTCCTTTGCTCTTCCCTTCCATTCTCATTCTAATCCTCTATTCCATTCTCTTCTTTTCTCTTCTCGTCCCTTCCCTTCCCTTCCCATTCTAATCCTCTTTTTCATTCTCTTCTCTTCCCTTCCCTTCTCTTCCCTTCCCATTCCAATCCTCTATTCCATTATCTTCTCTTCTCTCCTTTTCTCTTCTCTCCTTTTCTCTTCCCTTCCATTCTCATTCTAATCCTCTATTCCATTCTCTTCTTTTCTCTTCTCGTCCCTTCCCTTCCCTTCCCATTCTAATCCTCTTTTTCATTCTCTTCTCTTCCCTTCCCTTTCCATTCCAATCCTCTATTCCATTATCTTCTCTTCTCTCCTTTTCTCTTCCCTTCCATTCTCATTCTAATCCTCTATTCCATTCTCTTCTCTTAAAACAGCATTGCTTAGTGATGGAAATATTGGGCTCCATGGCGGCCGTATGTCGAGGAGGGACCCGTGAGATGAAAAGTACCCCCCCCTACACACTCTGGATTATTGGGGCTTTTGCTTTCAATGGATTCCCACCCCCGCCACCCCCCTAAAAGTATTGGGGGGGGATCTCAGAGAAGAAAACCGAGAAGGCGCTGAGCCTTTGACTGAAAGGGGACCGGGAAGACCCCTTACCTTTGCAGGAGCTCACCCCAAAAGCCAGCAGGGCGAACAGCAACCTCCAAGCCGTTCCAGGACCGGCTTTGCGGCTGCCTCTCCCCGGCCACGGGAGCTGCTGCGCCGGCCGGGTCCGGCAAGCGCTGGCCCTTCGCATGGTGCCTCTCACCGCCGGCGCTCCTGCTGGCTCCCTTGGCCCGCCGCTCTTCACAGGCTCCCGAGAGTTTGCAAGGGCTCGGCTGGAGCGCTCCCACTTTTAAATCTCCCGGATCTGGGGGAGGCGGCGACGGGGCAGCCCCGCCCCTTGTCGAGCCCTTCTTTGCCTCGCCCGCCCACGCGTGACTCAGGGAAGCGTCCGGAGCCCCGAGCCCAGCGTCCCTGGAAGGTCTTGGGGGGAAAGGGCCACGCGGATTGACCGCGGCGCGGCCCCTTGCAGGAGGGAGCCCCGCGCGTGTCTTTGCCTTTGGCAAACTTCTTCCTGCTGCTGGCTTGCCCGACAGGTGTTCCTCCGCTAGGGAAAATAAAGAGATGGAAGGAAGGGAAGCGGGGAGGGGGTGGGAGAGAAAGGAAGGAAAGAGGGGAGGAAGAGATGGTTAGGAACCAGAAGTTGAGGGTTTTAAGAAGAGATTGGATGTCCTTTTTTTCTGGAATGGCATAGGGTCTCCTGCTTGAGCAGGGGGTTGGACTAGAAGACCTCCAAGGTTCCTTCCAACTCTGTTATTCTTATTTCCTTCCTTCCTTCCTTCTAAGAAGAAATTGGACAACCATGTATCTGGAATGGGATAGGGTCTCCTGCTTGAGCAGGGGGTTGGACTAGAAGACCTCCAAGGTCCCTTCCAACTCTGTTATTCTTATTTCCTTCCTTCCTTTGTTCTAAGAAGAAATTGGACAACCATGTGTCTGGAATGGTTCTCTGTTATTCTTATTTCCTTCCTTCCTTCCTTCCTTCCTTCCTTCCTTCCTTCCTTCCTTCCTTCCTTCCTTCCTTCCT